AAAAACTAATTATTAGTCTGATTAAATCTCTTTTCAAACTGTTTAAACTGATAAAGTTTTATAGGCTTTTTTTAGCAATTTTATAAAAGTTATAAACTAACTTTCAGATTTATACAGTAATAATAGAAAAATAGCATGTAGTGTTTACCTTAAAATGATTTTACATACCCTGTGCAAGTAATATAAATACCTTAAGAAATGTATGTACCTAACGTATGTAATGTAAAATCGCTGGTAGACCCAATAAATAAATGAAATAAAAATAAACTTGCGTCAGTGTCGTGGAACACTATGTTGGAACGAAGTTCTTGTATTATACCGGGTGTTTGTGATACACTCGACGAGGAATGACGAGGAAAACAAATCATCTTTTCAAAACGTTTTATTTGTTTTATTCACGCTCCATCATGTTAGCACAGCTAAATGAAACAATAATTTCATAAAAGAAAATCATGAAAATACTTAAACATAACACCAGTAGTGTAATTTAAATCAGCTGACTAGGGTTCGCGCGGACGTCGAATACGCACGGCCCGCAGCTAGCGATCGTATCAATACCTAATAATTAACAACACTTGTCTAAATACCTAACTTATTTACTTAACCTACTATTTTGTCACTGTGCTTGTCTCCGCCTGGGCACTTTAATACGAATTCACAGGCTAAATAAACAAAATAACTGGTTCGATTCCCCGCTAATGAGAAATTTACTTAAATGAAATATTAACAAGGATAGAATCATGCTTTTTTATTCATCGTGTAGGTACGTTTATTATTCTGATGTATTCAGTTATATACCTGTTCAGATCAGTTCAGTACTAAGTTATTTAAAAAAAATAGGTATGAAACAGCTTCCCGATTTAAACTCTCCGTAGCCTTATGAGATACTCCAAGTAGGGCATCGAGAACCGGTCCCTTTCCAGGAACCGGTTCTTTCGGTTCTAAAATTTTGCCGGAACCGGGTACCCGGTTCTTTCGGTTCTTTTCTTTCTTTTAGGTTGGAGGCTATTTCGTTCAATGTGAATAACGATAACAATATTCATAAAAAAAAAACAGTTTATTGCAAATTGTGGGTTAAAGTAATTATTCAAGTAATAATTGCAATTGTTTCTTTCTAATTAAATATAATCAAACATCTCACTAAGTAGGAACATTCATTTTACAATTGCACGATGCACGTTAACAGTTATTTCACATTACTTACATAAAAATAGTTTGAAAGATTCTATTCTATTATAACATTACAATATTCCATCATAGAATATACTTTACGGACTGTTATTATAACAAAACATAAATCAGCTCAGTTATGAAAAAAATAGTTTTAATTAAACATTACTTCTTAATTTTACTTAAATAAAAAAAAAACGTAGAAAAATTAATGCCTGCACATTTTTATCACTCAAAGACGAGCGCAGCCTATTGCAGACGAAGACAATATTCGCTCTGGCTCTACACTGGTGGGCGAAATAGTTTTTAAATGTTCATAACCTATCGATAAGTAGTACTCGTAGTCTTTGCCCATCATTTTCAAATAGAGCCATTTCAACTCAATTATAATTTCAATCAATTTAAGTCATTTTCTTGATCTGTCGATTCAGTGGCAGTATTAACAGCCTTAGACAGCTCTCTATTAAATTCCTCTTCATTTGTTAGGGGGATTCATGTAATTCAACTTCCTGCAGATTTTGACTTCCAATTGCTGTTTATTCAAGGGATACTTTTTGTCTAGCTTTCGTGCGATTTTGTTTATAAAATGAGGATGACAAGCGAGAATAGATATCTACATCTATCCTCGATGACGAATCAAAATGCCGATGCGTTGTCACACGTGAGGACTAAGATTGAATGCCTCGTTTCCTGTAACAAGGGGATCCGGTTTTCTACACTCACCATACGCAGCAGCGTATTCTGTGAGAGCGTGGTCCTACCCCTTTCGAGCCAACCCATTCGTGCTATACTATACCAGTAATATAGCAGCAGCATGGCTATACCACGTAAAAATTTTCAATTCCGTGTAACATTTCATCATTTGTAGACCGGAAAAGATAGTTGCATCGTCCATACTGGCAAAATGACTGTCAGGGTTGGTTAAGTATCGCAATATTGATGCTTGCATGTTTTTTATATTGTTTTCGCAATGCAGTGACCATTTTATTACTAAGATAAGTATTAATTTCAACGAATTTTCTTATAGCAAATTTTAAAGAAACATCGGCTGTAATCAATGTTGTATCGCGACGGAATAGAGCTTCTACGATAGTTTTAATAACATCCAATATCTTATTTAACTCTTCTATGTTTGTCCGGTCTACCTCAGTAAATACCTACAATATCAGATTTAAAATCAATTAATGCTTTTGAGATCGTTTTTAACTTCAGAAATCGGCTTAACTTCGCGACTATGCTGCTCCAGGGTGTATTTACATCTAAAACCAAACAATATTCTTGTCCAAAATCAGTTATGATGTGCTTTTGAAGAATTTCGTCACTTTTAGTGGGGGAAGCCTTGAAAATTTTTACCAAATTATTACAAATCCTACTGTTTGCCATAAATAGCAGAAATGATTAATAAACACGTTTTTATAACACTACATTGCAATGATATACCTTTTAAGAAACTTTGTAAAGGAACCGAAAGAACCGAGTTTTAAATTTTTGGAACCGGTTCTTTTCGTGACCCCTGAAACCGGGAATTCCCGGTTCTTTTGGAACCGGGAAAAACCGGTTCCGATGCCCTAACTCCAAGGCACATTAACATGTTGCCGTATTCACGAGCACTATAAACGTACGCGTTAGGCATTACTAAAACAAAACAAGAAACATAAAACGTAAAACAAGTATTAACAACAAGAATTTAATAAACAAAACGACTGTTGCTCATGCGCACTGGGTAGTCAACACGGAAGTGGTTCAAAAACTAAAATTAATAACCAATTCCGCCAAAAATAATGCCTACCGCTAAGTGCGTGCGTCCTAATGTCCTTGCAGAACGTACTTTGATCATTTTCACAGATGGTTAAACCCAGTGGCGTAGCGTGCCTTAGATGGGCCCTGTATCAAAATTTGTTGGGAGAGCCCCAATGAAATTTAAAGATTTTTTACTTTGAATTAAAATTATTATATATTATTGATTATTAGTTATTACTTACAATTAATACTCCTAGACACTAAGCTAGCCAAACAATTAAAATCAAATATACACTTTTCTTACCTTTTGTTCAGCGAACATAGCTGAACACGATTCGGCGGCATTTATAGCTGAAGAAGATTTCAGTCTTTCTAAATTATTTCCTTCTATAGACGAGAGTGATAGCCTTTTCTGTCCCATGGAAGTCCTTGTATTTTTTGTTTACACACGTTTGGGGCCCCTGTAGCCCGGGGGCCCCGTATCATTGATACGGCTGATACGGCGGTAGCTACGCCCCTGGTTAAACCGTTACGACATTGCCAACTTTAATTTTATAAGTTTAGTTATCCCTACAACTAGTCCTAATATGGAATTTAGAAGTTATAGTTGTCATTTTTAATACAGTTAGACAATCAATTGTACCCTGAAGGAACAAGCAGTTCGTTACTACAAAAATGATATTGAAATTAATACCTACCTACCTAATTGGGTTCTCAGTTACATAATTATAAACACTATTTCATCGTTATCTTTGATTTTGTACAAGAAAATAAAAATGAAATGGTACTGAATAACTGGTACTTTAATAGTTAAAATCAATTGCAATTATGATCGACAGTTAATTAATCTATCAGAATTAATCTAAAAAATAATTCTTTTACTTTGTTTTAATTGACTTTCCGTTATTGATCCGTCCAATACTTTAAATTTAAAAAGAGGTACGTCAAACTATTAAAACTTACATGCAAGATTTATTGTGATTGCCGCCTCTAATGCTTATATCACCTGCAAACAAATCTTAGTAGGTAAATTTTGGTGCAATGGCAGCGTTGCCAACACCAATTTGTCAAATTCTCCGAAAACCCATGTCAAATTTCCACAAATCTTCACAAATTCACCTCAATTTTATTTTAAGAAATGAAACAATTTTCAATTAACTTTATATAAAAAATATTTTTTTTAAACTAACTTTTTCTCCTTTTTTACTGCAAACATTTTTTTCACACTTTCCATATTTTTGTAACAAGCATTTTACTCCATGGAGTATTTTTAACTCCTTCCCTTGTTGCAATTAAAAAGTACCACTGTATCTGCATTTATAAGCATGCAGTTCTGTGCTTTAAAATTAACAAAAATAAAGAAATGAAGAGCATTAGATGATGAGGAATAATTTATTAGTTGACAATGTTTGTAAATTAAGATCACTAGAACAATAAGATGTAAAATATGAAAAGGCTGATATTAGGAGCAGAGTTGGTATGGAGGACATTCATCCTATTACGATATTATAAATCTGCGCTGTGCGGTAAAAGTGAAATGCACTTTCTATTTATTACAAAGATCTTTTTGGGATTAAAGTACGATGTGATATTGTGATTCCTTATTAGTCTTCAAAGGTACTTGTAGCCTTGTTAGTTTGAGCCTTCGTGCTAAAAGTCAAACTGATTACAGTCAGCACGTTTCTCAATCTCAAATGAAAGAATAAAAACACTTTTTAATATTTATTAAAGCATTGAAACTACACTGTAATTTTACTTACTACATAACATATTTCTAATAACACATTATTTAAAAAGTATATTCACACAGTAAGTTTACTTTAAAAAAGGTTGCGTGGGTTTACGCCGTCTGGCCATACAACATGCTCGCAGAGACAGGAAGTAGAGAAGTTCTACAACGCTCATTATACTGAAACCCATACATAGTCCTAGTAGACCGCCAGTATTAGCTGTGGAAGAATATTATTTTTATAAAAAGGTCAAAAGCTTTTTTTGCATAGATAACAACTGTTACTTCAAGAAACATCAAAACACAACCATACTGAATAAGTTACTACTTTACTGCTAGTATAGTTCATGCTTTTTATATTTCACTTACACAGGAATTCCGTGAGGCCAAATATTTCTTCTTTTGTAAATCTTAAAAATGTGTTATCCTCGAAATAGAAGTGGACTATTAACATATTTTCGCTGAAATAAAATTGTTAAAAAATGTTAAAGAATAAATAATTTCTATTAAAAAACTGAGCGAATCATAGAATAAGAAGTACTTTGTGCAAAACAAATCTTAAAATAAAATATGTACATACATACTTATTATATATATTTTTAATAGAAGTGGCTTTCAAATGTGACAAAGGAATACTGTAATACTTAAAGATACATCTCTTTTCGATTAACAATCAAAATGCAGAAGCTGTGTTGTCATCTCTTAGGCCGAAGATTGAATGCCTTATAAATATATAATAAAAGAAAAGGTTCAACATTGGTAATTTATTGGCTGTAATAGTGATAAAACAAATAAGTTCATTTACATGAAATATTCAGGAGTCCTATTGCGTAGTATTTCGGGGTATTGGCCGATGAGCGCCTTATTCAGCGGCGCCGTACTGAGTCGCCCAAAGTAGGATATCTCGTTGCAGGCCGGCAGGCACTCATCGCAGATCGGCGTATCTGTATTTTAATTACCATTTGTCAACCATTTGGTGCTTAATTTTATTTCACATTTTTCCGAGTTAATACTACGAAGTTGCTGTTCCTACCGTATGTCTAAAGTATGAATGCCTTGATACGTCTTATTGCCGATACCATACCGATACCGATACATTTATAAAAATATCGAAGATACAGATACCGATACGCTAATTCAATTAAAAAATGAAGGTAAAATATATGAAACACAAGTCAGGTTATTTTTTTAATTAATATAAAAAAGAAACAAATAACATGACAAAGTAAATAAAACCGTTTCTAACTATAGATAGGTTGAGATTATGTAATAGTTTTAGTAATTAAAATTAACATTGATGAGATTTTTGTTTAAAAAACAAAGTATTCTTAAGTTTTGCGGAGAAAGGCGATTTCGCAAATCTGTTTGAATAAGACCTGCGGTAGGAAATAGTCCCTCAGATGCGACAGAACTCCTTTGGAAACTAAAATACTTCTGCGCCATTATTTTCAAGTTTGGGTATAAGACGTCACCTCGATATATTAGGACGTCTCGATATATTAGGACGTCTCGATTAGGAGACCTTAGGTATCTCTCGACTTCTTCTTAGAGTGAATTACAGCTCAAAGTAGACAGGGGCTCATCTTCCTCGGACTCTCTAATAATATTTTCTCTAGGCATCTCAGAACTTACAGTTACAGTACTAGATGTAAGTGTGACCGTGTTAAAAATAGTTTCGAAATGCAGTGCTACATTAAGATCAAGTAATTGAACAAGACGCTTTATTGCCATAGTGATAGACTTTGATTGAAGTATTCGTGCTTTGTAACTAGGATCAAGCATTGTGGCTAAACAAGACACTGAATAAAGCGCGAGGTTTCCCCGAGCATAGTTAGTTCGTGCCTCGTTTGCAACGATATAGACGAGACAATACGTGCGTTTACATTACGTTTTTAAAGCGCTATATTTGAAAAGTATCGTTGAATCGGTCATAAAAATATCGCCGATGACGATATATCGGCAAACTGAGGGTATCACCGATATATCGGTATCGGTATCAGATGCATCCCTAGTCTAAAGCATTATTAAAAAAAAAACAGAAAAATCATTGAGGTACTTTTATCATAGAATATATAAACAATAACATTTCAATTTATTATTTGCTTCTTCTATTTATTTATTTTAACAAAGTAACAGGGTTTTTAATGGTCTCCCTTTGATGCTTCCTCTACACTACTCGCGAAGTAACTTCGACGAAGTGGTCGTCGAAGTCGATCGCAGTCCGAAGAACGGGACCACACACTCGTGCTACTTAGCGAAGAGCTCAGTCGTCTTGAGTCTCCCGCACCCTTAACATGAATTACGTTCAAGCGGCAGCTGCTATAGGTACCTAATTGTGCGAACAATACGACGTCAAAGCGTTAACTAAATAAATAATTATGTAGAAAGCTACATATTTAATATTTATATATTAAAAAAAAATTCATAACTGGCGTAAGCCGAGTAATCGGAAATCGCCCGAGGCGAAGCGAGGTTTGACGAAGTGAATCGAAGTACCTCTCTACACTATTTGCCTCGTCCAACTTCGATGTACTTCGCGAGTAGTGTAGAGGAGGCATAATAATTTACGGGACAACTTCTGGCGACATTAATTTGATCCATATCATTGGCAATATTGATTAGCATCAAAAATACAGACTGTTTTTATTTTGAGTCGAAAGACATTATCTTTCAGATTACTTTGTAATCGGCACCCTTAACACGAATGACATTCAAGAGGCAGCTGCTGTAGGTACCTAATTGTGTGAACAGTACGACGTCAATGCGTTAACTAAATAAATAATTATGTAGAAAGCTACAATAAACAATATTCATAACTGGCGTAAGCATAGTAGTGTAGTGAGACGCTTCATGTAACTTCGGGGTACTTCGCGAAGTCCTTTGACTCTGGCGCAAAAAACCGATAGCGATCGGAAGTCGCCCGAGGCGAAGCAAAGTTGCACGAAGCGAATCAAAGTCCCTCTCTACACTATTCGTCTCGTCTAACTTTGATCTACTTCGCGAGTAGTGTAGAGGAAGCACAAATCTAAAAATTACCCATAAATTGCCTCATAAGCGGATATTTGAAAGTTGCCACGCAAGAAGGTTAGCAGCCGCAGTTATTTAATTCTTAGTTACGGGAAGATGCTGCTGCCCATCTCCTGTTTCATTTTCTCTTTGTAGCCTCTTACAACACCCTCGGGACGATATGGGGTAGTGGATATTCTTACACTGCCACTACACGGATAGATGTATACCGCCATTCAATACCGAATCAGACCCCACATAAAATATCGAGACCGGCGACTGACAACAACGTCAAACGTGCGTGACGTCTGGTTCTACAAGCGTCAATCCACCTGTCAAGTGTGATTAAGGCAAATCCATGACGATTAAGGTCAATGTCCAGCTGTGGATTTCTACGAGCTGATGTTTAGAATGATGAAGATAACGGGTTTCGACATTCACATACAGAAACTGCCTTTGCTTTTATTATTGGAACGAAGCTCCTTATCGGACGGTACGAATTTGGCGGATGGGGGCTAGGCGAGAAAAAGTGTAAGATTTTTCAGTCACGACCCCTTCTGACGTAGTGTAGACGGCCTTGGCGGCTATAAAGAAGCGAGATGGAATTGCTATTCCATCTCCTTCGCACTTTTTCTTATCTTGTCATGAAAGAACTATTATTTTATTTTAAATGAGACACTAGTAGTTGATTTATTTGTATTTGTTAATCAATAATATAATACGTTTATCAATAATAATATACTACGAAAGGAACTTCATTCCAACCGAGTGTTCTACGTCACTCACGCATGTTTTTTATTGCCGTTTTAATTTTAAGTTGTGTATTTTATTTAGAAGTATTTATAAACATATTTTTTATACTAAATCAACTTAAGATCTACCTAATAAACAGAGAGAAACTCTGTCGCCTCTTACGACATATACAGAACGATAATATATACTAGTGGATATTCTTACACCACCACTACCTATTAAATTAATTCTCGTAAATTGAATACTATCTTACCTGTTTCTGTGTTAGGCTTAATTTTGGAGTAACATTTAGCGTCAGCTTTGCCGCAAACACGTGTCGTTCTGTTTTCTAAAATAAATTTAGTTATTCTTATGTATATAATGTGAAAAATAATAATATTTATAAACAGTATCCAAAAATAATGTAATAAATAATAAGCAATATCTGGTGTAAAGAAAAGTTTTAATTGTCTTACCGAAAAACGAAAGTGATACGTCGTTCTTATATAATAAATGTGCTTTACCTTATTGACAACATCTTTGGGCAGTACCATACGCATACTTACTAGGCATGTAGTAATGGACACATTTACATCTATCTAACATCGATTTGGCTTTACATTCCATTTCACAATTTCGTAAAGTGTAAGTCCTAAAAAAATTGTTACTTTATTTGATAATTTAAAATTAAAAAAATTTGTACAACCGACTTCAATATAAATTATTAAGAATAACTCAAAAACTATTAGCCAGATCTTGGTCAAAATTTATATGGGACCACATGAGAAGTACCAGCTTCAAATAAAAAAGATTCATCGAAATCGGTTTACCCAGAAAAAAGTTATGAGGTAACACATAAAAAAAAACATATCCTTTTTGAAGTCGGCAGAAAAGTTAATTTATTTTAGCTGATAACAGAGTTTGCCAAGCTGCTCTTGTCCGGTAGTATTATTAGATGCACATTACTAATCAATTCTAAAATTGCAATTACCAAGGTTGTTCTCATATTTTATTCAGAAATCTTCACGAAACACTGGATCACATCATTCTTGGCTTAAGATTATATGTAAAGCAAAGAATAACTTTTTTTTAAAAATAAAACTTAAATAAATTTAAATAATCGCGTAAATATAAGAAATTATTAACTTTTTTTTTGTTTTACTGGAAAGAAGACTATCGCTGCCTATGAATAACCACAACACAAGGGAAATTGTGGCTGCGATACCTTATAAAAGGGGTTTTTTAAAGAAAAAATAGCTGGTGATGCAGATTCCGTAAAGTAGTCGATGCCATGCCATTAGGAATTTGTGCGATAGTAATACTTGACGGCTGGAATTATTCCGAACAATTCCTCACAACCATAGAATTATTACCCACGTAATAATTCTATGCTCACAACACCCAGTGATAAATGCGATAGAAAATGCAGAGGTGCAACGCTTTTTTCTCACTAAAAACTCGATTGTTGACGATGGTCCTTGATTCAGGCTGCTCTTCGCTGGTTCAAATGGAAGGAGCTGATATTGAGTTGCCTCCTCCCCTGATCTAGAGATGAGAACAGTATTCCATGTGAAAGTTGCAAGTGGTGTGCTTGCAAGAAATGCTATTCTGCTCTACTAAGCACGCCTCACTTTTAGGTTTGGGGCTAATTTAGCTTTCTCAAGCGACCGCGAAACTGAACGTTACTCGATTTATCGACGCCGAGGATTCCTATATACTTGTTGAGGCCACAAGGAGAATGACATAAATTGAGGAGACACGACAAATTGGTTCTTTTTAGTTGTAAACGTGCCAACCTGTATCATCTGGGAGTTGAAGGATATAACATTTCGACGAAAGACTCGACATCAAGCACAAGTTTGTTCTGGCACTAATTTTTTTATGGAATAAGGGTGACAAACGAGCACGCAGTATACATGATGGTAAGTGTATGCTGTGGCCCATAGACAGGTAGGTATACTATGAGGTATTCCATGACGTTGTTCCCGTGAATTACTGGCATGCCCGTTGTAAAACGTTACTAGTTTGCATATCATTGATATGCGGAAGTAACAGAGTAAGTGATAGCAAATTCAAAGTTGCTATCACCTAATTTTTCACAAGAGTTGTTAATGCTAGTTTTTCACAAGACCGCTTCTTGTGAAAAACTGGCATTATCAACTTTGAAGTAGAAGCATGCACTGTTCACTACGACCATGATGCTTTGGTGGAGTAGGAGTAGTTTTAGAACCGGTACTAATTTTGGAGCTCATCTCTTCAGCACAATTATATGGATTATAGGCTCTAGGGTGGAGAGTGTTTTGCGCACTGAGCTCTGTAGTAACCGTATGGAGCACTTACATTGCCGGACAATTTGCAGTGTGTGTCCCCCAGTCATCTAGAGTCGAGTTGGACTTAAAGAGAGTGCCTAAAAGATTATCTTTTTCTCTACGGTATGAGCCAGTGAATCGTCATCCTTGTGCTAAAATGGAAGAGATGGATATAAAAATTACCTTGCACAGCCGTACTGAGAAAACAGAATGCAAGGGTTCCCAAAGGAAGGCAAACTAGTTCCTTGCCAATTCTGCCGATGTGCTCTCACTTTGCCTTGGTTATAACTCTTTTGTAAGACTTGGGGGGCAGGATAGTAGTTCTTATTCTTTTTAAGAGCGCTGGTGTTTACATCGCGGCACTGCTGGTATCTGCCTCATATGATCGCCATGTATTTATATTATTTAGTAGAGAGATTTTAGTGTTTTGCACCGGCTCATACCAAATATTACTACTTCATGAGTCTGTCTCTACCTTCTCAGTTAGCGGGGGATGCAATTGTACCATATATTATTTTAAGCGTTTCCTCAAGGACGTAGCATTTCTTTACAAAAACAATTTTTCACTGATTGAGAATTATAAATTAAATTCCGAAATTGCTTGACCCAAGTATAACAGGATCGGCATAAATTTACCTATAGAATACTAATTCTTTTTCACTGGAAAATAGGCAAAGCCTTTTATTAACGTCGATGTATTTAAGAGCGGGCCTTGCGTCTAAAATTCTCGGCTGTATCACTGCCCTCGCTTCTACTCCGGGCCCATAAATCTCGCCTATCTTTGCTATGTTCGGCGTCTCCGTCGGATTGTGGAGAAGTATCTGTAATATTTTCATGAATAATTAGAAATATCTACTTACGAACGAACAGGAACAGAAAGAGAACAAAAGAGGTGTTAATGTGAACTTTATTATTGTTTCTTTTATTTTAAAAGTACGCCTTGAAGTTTACGCGCTAGCGGTAGGTAATTTTCTTGCAGTGGCAGGAATATTAATTTAACTGTGATTAATTTTCCTGTGGTCTTGTGGTAACTACCTAATGTGTTAATAATCTAGTATATAGTCATAATAAGTTGTAAAATTAAAAATTTTGTACAACCGACTTCAATATAAATGATTGACGGCTCCGTGGCGCAATGGCTTAGCAATGAGTTGAAGCGCTGCGCTAGGGGTCGCGGGTTCGAATCCCGCACGGAACAAGTATTTGTATGGCCTACAAATAATTGTTTCGGGTCTAAATGTTTGTCCTTGCGCAATTTATGTTTGTAAACTGCCGCCACGGTACAGGAGAAAATCCTAGTGTGGGGGTAAGAAAGAAAAAAAATTATGGATATTAATGGATATTAAGTATAACTCGAAAACTGCTGGTCAGAACTTGATCAAATTTATATGGGACCACATTAAAAGCACCAGCTTTCAAATAAAAATCATCAAAATCAGTTCACCTAGAAAAAAGTTATGAAGTAACACACAAAAAATACAGTGGGATTGAGTACCTCCTTCTTTTTGAAGTCGGTTAAAAATTAAAAAGCTACTGGTATGTTTATTAAATATAAGTAAGGATATCTTTTATATAACTATGATGTTAACGTGTTGTTTTATTTATTATAACGTAGTAGTGCCACGCTGTAGCAATTATAGCTGCAGGCTGCAGAACGAACACGTCTAAGAAAGGACTATGCTCTGTTGTTTCATATTATGCTGACTGGGAGAATCAAGAACCTTTCTTGCTAGTAAAAAGGCATTCCATCTTAGTCCTTAGGGGTGACAACACATTTAAAATTTCATTGATAATTGAGGGCAGATGTGTGTTTATGGGTCACAGCATCCACTTACCATCAGGTGGATTTTGTGCTTGTACAAAAGCAGTTACAGTTACTTAATTCTGTTAAAAAAACTATAGTTGGCACAGCAACTGCTTAAAGGTTTTATCAACTAAATATATTAATGATATATAATATATAAATTATTACTCTGCTGGATATTCTAGATATCATTTGAACCAATTTTTATTTTATTGATGATATCTCACAAAACAATAGGGTACCTACTATGTCGGGCTGCCGTTAGAGCTCCATATAACTTTTAAGTCATATTGGCCTTTATAATATAATATATGTATAAAAATTGGCAGAAATTTTAAAAATCAAAATTTAATACTCTACACTAATACCTTGAAACCGACGCTTTTTGTCGAAGCACAATAATATTCAGCTACGTTGGCATCCAAGATCAGCGTCAAGCCGTGATTAGTACCGACGCCTAGTCACAGACAGAGTTAAATTGAAACAGAGCAGAAAATAAAATTTTAAATAATTTTTGTAGTTATTTTGATGTAGGTTTTATTGGATGCGTTCTTGGATCATCATCATCATCACCATTACAGCCCATCACAAATCCACTGCTGAACATAGGCCTCCCCCAAGGAATGCCACGAAACACGGTCCTGAGCCACCTGCATCCTTCGACTTCCTGCATGTCTTACCAGGTCGTCACCACTAGATAGTGGGGGGACGCCCTACACTTCGTCCGCCGGTACGAGGCCGCCACTCGAGAAGCTTGTATCCCCATCGGTTGTCGATTGTTCGAGCTATATGGCCGGCCCATTGCCACTTCAGCTTACTAATCCGTTGGGCTAAGTCGGTCACTCTGGTTCTTCTGCGGATATCCTTATTTCTAAGTTTAGTCATTCGTTCTTGGATGGTTCAGTCTATTTATTTTGCCAGCTTCATGTAGGGGTGAGTAAGCAACACGTTGAGTTAATTTTATTCCTTGACCAATTTTATGAAACAAATTGTAATTGAATTAAAGCAATTATAGTTTAATAAAAGTGTGAAAGTTAATATTTCTGCTAAATTTAATTTAATTTATACTCGTTCGTAATTTAAACTCGTAATTTAAACTCGATGAGGGGACAGATGTTTTTATTCGAACCAGTGGTGATTAAACAAAAGTGTGACGTTCAATAAGTATTATTTATATTCTATACATATTGAATAAAAAAGTTTCTGTTTCTGTTTCTACTTATTACATATATTAGTTGCCAGAGATATTTTGCTGTGTTAGGTTTTGGATATGTATATATGTATCTTTTCTTCACATGGTCATTTACCTGGCACGGCCACCTTTGGATATTTTTTTCTACGAAAAAAGTTACATTGAATAATAAAGTGTTACAAATTCTCCTAGAGAGAGGAGTTCATTGGATTAGTGCACACTTTAATGCCAATCCAGGGTGGCCGAGCCAGGCAAACGAGCGTATAAATATCAGAAATAAGAAACGTTTATGAGCAAAGTAGGTTAGCAAAAGGGAATGGAAAGTAAAGTTTAACTAATGGCTTTTAATTTTTATTTTACTTGTTACCTTTAGGTTTCCATGGAAATCCGTTAGGTGGTGCATCTGAAGGGTATCCTCCTTCAGGAGTCCAGTCTACGGATGGTAATGGGAAAGTTAAATTCAAATCGTTCAAGTCTCTTCTGTAAATGACAAAAAATTAGTTCAACATTAGTAGGATTACAATCTTATATAGAACTATTTATAGATGATTTTTATGTTCTTCGATTGTTATCTGTTTTCTTGTCAATATAATAAATAAAATATTCTATTTCCCCCTGTTACTAATAGTAGTCCACATTTCGCGGACAACGCGGGTACGACTTCCGACCAATTCAATTGATAATTGCAATATTAAATGCTAATTTAATACGTTCTTGGCTTTAAAGGAAAAACTCGTGAAGAAACCTGCATGTTCGAGGATATGTGAAACCGCAAACAAACACATTATGGCTCAATATCCTTCTCAAAAGTGAGAGAAGACTCTTGCCGATCTGTGGGACGTTAATAGACTGTAACTTTACTACTAGTAGAGAACTTGACTACGTTGACCGGGTACACAGATTATTTGTTTTAATAATAATAATAATAGTTTATTTGGTTTTAAAAAATAAAAAATAACACAATATAGACAAGATAACTTAGGAATAAGTTATTGAAATCACACAGCGGAAACCACAACGCTGATTTTCAGAGACATGGGTTGATTAAACTGAACTTAATTTTTCCAAGTCCCGAACATAAAAATACAACATACTACATATATAAAACATAACAAAATAAACTAAAGTTTGAAAAGGCAAAGAAAAGAATTCTTTAATAAATTTAAACATAAGTTATCATAAAAAAATGTGGTACATCGACCAACTCTTTTTCTATATTTGCAAATAAGGATGTGTTTTAGTTAAATCTTTTAAGTGCCAATCGTAATGCAATTTTCGAGAGGAAGTGGTGTTATTTCAGAACTCTTCGCAACAACGAAAACTACCACGTAACACTTAAGCATATCTTTGTACATTTTAAACTTTACCACGTTCACATTGGTTTGGTTTCCTTTCAATTTCAAAATTATACACGTTAGTTTTGTATTCATGTTTTTTTGTAATTGATTATTTTATCAAAGTAAATCTTTTAATTAACACTGGATGATGATTGATAATGTGATATTTAGTGTTAATTTGCATATTTATTATGAATTTACATACGGATTTCTAAACATATTCACGTTAGTCTTGGGGTTCTATCTTTTAGTCGTTATTAGATTGATTGATTATAGATTATTTTATAAAAAAAATCTTACTAATGTGGATTATGATAAATTACGTAATATGAATTTGGAGGCATATTATGAATCTACGTACGGATTTCTAAACATATTTTCACGGTGCACCACGTTGAAGGTACAACAGAGTCCTTCGTCAGTAAGCTGTGCATTGAACAAGTCTTGGCAGTTCATGTTTTTCGAGTCCCATATGCACGTTGCTAGCATTTCGTTACAGGGTTGTGTTACCTAAAATTTGATACGATCTTTGAAATATCATAAATTTTGTTCTATTTAAGAATCATGTCTTTCTTTTTAATTCTATTTAAAAAAAATACGTTATCATCATGGACGTTTACCTACATAACGTCCATGGTTATCCTATTACACTAGATATTTGTACTGAATCATAAAGGCGTTTTACATTTATAAATTATACATACAAGATCATCAACAGTCGAAACAATTATTTATATTTTCGTGCGGGAATCGAATCCGCAGCTTATAGCGCCAGACACTGCTTCCCCAATTTATATGATATATGAATAAATATACTAGTAGCAGTTAAAAATATATTAAAAATGGGCCATATCAAGAGTACCTTTAACCGACGAGCGTGTATGCGTAGGTATATGGATGTGGAGGAAGCGAGAGAGGTGTGTCAGGATCGTGCCAAATGGAAGTCCATAATCTCTGCCTACCCCTCTGGGTGACAGGCGTGAGTGTTTATGTTTTTTTTAGCAGTTCTTGTACTATTATTTATTCTGTGCTAATAGTGACGACACAAATAACACCATTGAATTCGTTACAATTTTCAGTGATTATTTACGTGGACGTGCTTGGCTGTAAATGTAAACACCATGATAAAATGTGTCAATAAATTGCATATTACTTTAAGAGCTTCGGTTAGAAGAAAGATAAAAAATATTTCTTCTTTATCAAGCTGAAAATTATAATAACGTTGTTATTAACAATAATCCTTTAACTTTATTTATTTCTATTCATAAATTAGGCAACATGGCACGCCACATTCTACAATCAATAACAGGTAGAAGAATATTTACGTAAGGGACTAAAAGCTAATTGGGTATAGCCACAGAATAAACAATAGTACAATAACAGAAGGATCACTCTCTCATAGCAAACTTGCGAGTTTTAACTTAGTTACAACGACGCAAATGTTCATAATATTTTGCTCGCTTCGGATATAACCTTCGTTAAAATAGTCCAATTAGTCCTTAACACTTATAATACTTAACTTATATACTTAACACAATTAACACTTGTACTTGCATGATTGTATGCACAAAAGCAGGCTAACTGCTCTATAACCCTCGCAGAAAAAAGAAGTCTGTGCCCATTAGTGGGATGTATATAGACTGTTGCATATTTACTTTTTATCGTTAAACAAAAATATTTGAATGAAAAGTGAAAACTGACATTGATGAGAAAGGAGCGAGTGTAGTCCCAATCAGCACTCTCTGCAATTTCGTCTTCAAAAAGGTCTACGTCGGCTTCGGTTGAACATAAACTGTCTAATAACTTTTTGTCCAAGGAAATTCTGAAAATATGTTTTTGCATTAATCTCTTCTTTCTGTCAAATCCTTATAAACCTTACAAATGGACTAATTTACTTAATTTAAAACTAAATCATTTTACATATAACTGCACAATGCAGTGATCAGGGTATCAGCCTTTTTAAGAAAAGAAAATACTTACAAATACCCGCATTGAACTCCCACCGATTAAAACCCCATAGTGCTTCATCAAATAATATACGAGTAAATTCAAATTCACGGAATAGAGCTACCAAGTGGGTAGCTCAAAACTGTCAAATGTTAAGAAATCAAAGATACACTAATCAGTGTTAACAAGTAAACAATTCAAGAAAAAAGAACCTTCTTTGAACTAAATACCGACTGATACGATTGCTTTTAGCGATACCTACCTACTTACCTGCTTACACTTGGTTCAAAAGTATCGATTTTTTTTAAAAACAAAAGTATCGAGTAAGTACTCGTATTTGTTTATATACAAGTTTTGTTCCTAATAGCGCTGTATCACTAGCCCTATACCGTGGCTGTAGTACGGTCGCACCTTTCAGGCGCTGGTGGTCAAGGATGTAAAGAGGTTTCAGTATTACGATGCACCTCTCTATCTACCATCTGCGGTTGAAACATGGGTATTTAATCGGTGAGAGCTTGAGGTGACCTGGCCTTTTCTCTGCAAAATGGTTGTGCTTCAGGTATTTACAAGAAACGCTTAATATAATAATATATCTTAATTTAAAAATAAAAGTTATTTCGAACTAGGAATTTTCCTGTAATATTTATTTTATATTATTATATGACATGATTAATGTAATATATGATATTAATGTGGTAACATTTTACCTGCGTTTACCTTAGTTGTATTTTACGATACCCAAGAAAAATTTGAAAATAACCCAAGATTAAGGAGTTAATACTCACCCAGAGTTAATATATCGTTCTGCTACTGATTTCTTCGCTTGGTTTACATTACAGACAGTCAGAGCAGGAAAGGGTAGATCTTGTAGATGCATGTTCTCAGAATTAATGCTTACAATCATAGGTGATAGGCTCCACTTATCAAACACGTTTAGAATGAAGAAGGCGGCACAAATTAAAGAGGAACAAAATGCCGTTAACCAGAAAAATCTACAATGTATACATGACTACTTAAAAATTCTGTCAAAATTTATTACATTGCTTGATAACACTAACCTAACATGTGATTGTTATGTAATATAATTTAATATCGATATGATAGTAAATTGTTGAAGGGACATTTTAAGAAATACTAAACCTATATAAAAATACATTTTATTGCGCACCGAAGAAAGACAAATTATATAATAAAATAAACAAACAAAAAAAATAAAATGTTTTCTTATTGTTGTTTCACGCTAACATGAAATCATCATCATCATTCATCATTACAACCCTTCACAAGTCCACTGCTGAACATAGGCCTCCCCCAAAGAATGCCACAAAGCACGGTCCTGAGCCACCTGCATCCATCGACTTCCTGCATATCTTACCAGGTCGTCACTCCATCTAGTGGGGGGACGCCCTACACTTCGCCTGCCGGTACGAGGCTGCCACTCGAGAACCTTTCTTCCCCATCGGTTGTCGGTTCTTCGAGCTATATGGCCGGCCCATTGCCACTTCAGCTTACTAATCCGTTGGGCTATGTCGGACACTCTAGTTCTACTGCGGATATCCTCATTTCTGAGTTTATCACGCAGAAAAACTCCGAGCATAGCCCTCTCCATAGCTCGCTGAGTGACCTTGAGCTTCCTCATCCGGCCAGCAGTGAAGGACCACGTCTCAGTTCCGTATGTCATCACTGGCAACACGCACTGGGTGTACAGTCTCGTTTTCAAGTTTTGAGGTATACCTGACGAGAAGATGTGCCGTAATTTCCCGAACGCTGCCCAACCGAGTTGAATCCGTCGATTGACCTCTCGGTCGAAGTTGGACTTACCTAGTCGGACTATTTGTCCCAGGTAAACATACTCGTCAACAACTTCGAGCTTAGTGTTCCCAACAACTACCGGCATAGGTGTGACATGGACATTAAACATGATCTTTGTTTTGTCCATGTTCATCTTAAGACCTATCCGTTGGGAAACACTATTGAGGTCATGGAGCATAGTGCTTAGGTCCTCCAGCGATTCTGCCATAAGGACTATATCGTCGGCAAATCGAAGGTGAGTGATGTACTCGCCATTGATGTTGATACCGTATCCTTTCCAGTCCAGAAGCTTGTAAATGTCTTCCAATGCAGCGGTGAAGAGTTTCGGGGATATGACGTCACCCTGTCTTACACCTCTCTGCAATTGGATAGGTTTCGTACTCTGGTTCTGTACTCGGATAGCCATCGTAGCCTTACTGTACAAGCACTTCAACACTTCGATATACCGACAGTCAACTTGGCACCGCTGAAGGGACTACAGCACCGCCCAAATTTCGACGGAATCAAAGGCTTTCTCATAGTCCACATACGCCAGACATAGTGGCAAATTGTACTCCTCGGACTTCTGTACAATTTGCCGAAGGGTATGTATGTGGTCTATGGTGCTAAAGCCTTTTCGGAAACCGGCTTGTTCGGGAGGCTGGAAGTCGTCAAGTCTGCGCGCGAGACGATTCGTAATGACTCTCGAAAACAGCACGTAGACGCGGCTCAGAAGAGAAATCGGTCTGTAGTTCTTCAAGAGAGCGTTGTCGCCTTTCTTGAAGAACAAGACCACCGCACTTCTGCTCCACGCCTCCGGTGTAATGCCACCATGGAGGACGGAATTAAAGAGCCTCTGAAGGACTTCAAGTACCGGTTTTCCACCCGCTTTCAGAAGCTCCGCTGTAATTCCATCCTCGCCTGGGGCCTTGCCGTTTTTAAGGTGCTGGAGAGCCATTCTAATCTCGCTCAGACTGACGTCCGGGATATCATCGGAATAATGTCGGATAAGACTCGCTCTTGGATCGTTACTCACACTTGCGTGCGGCTCCAACGATGACGTGTACAGCTGCCCATAGAACCTCTCAATTTCACTCAAAATCTCATGTGCCCCGGAAACCATGCTGCCACATTCTGTCTTCAGCTTTGACAGTTGGCGCTTTCTGGCAGACAGATCTCTGGCAAAGACTTTGGAGCCTTGGTTCCGCTCGATCGCTTCTTCAATACGAGCTGTATTGAAGTTGCGTAAGTCCCGCCGCATGCATTTGGAGATCTGTCTGTTCAGTTGCCTGTATGCTGTTAAATCTGTTGAAGAATGTAGCTTCATCTCCCGTCTAACAGCCATGAGATTAAGAGTGTGATCGGAGAGTTTTTGTGTTCTTCTGCGGCGGGTCTTGCAGAACTTAGCTCCGACCGCATGGACAGTTTCCAAGAGCTTGTCATTCAAATCGTCCACTTCATTGCAGTCTTCTAGGCACTGAAAACGGTTTTGTAACTCGAGCTGAAAGGTTTCGGGACTTTGGATTAGAGCACGAGGGGGACGGAGCGTTGACTTCATTAGACGAGACCTCTCCAACTTAACGTTTAGGTTCAGTGTGCCTCTAACCATTCGGTGATCGCTGCCGGTTTTCACCCTCGCGATCACTGAGACATCACTGAACAGTTGTCGTCTGGTCGTCATAATGAAGTCAATCTCATTTTTTGTCGAACCGTCGGGGCTCAACCAGGTCCACTTCCTGTGGGGCCGCTTCTGGAAGAAAGAGTTCATCATAAAGAGTCCCTCTTTCTCCATGAAGTCGGCCAGCTGCTGGCCCCTTGGGTTCCGTTTCCCTATTCCAAATTTCCCTACTTTCAGCTCACTGTTCTCTCTTGTGCCTAGTTTTGCATTGAAGTCTCCCATTAACACCGTATATTGGGTTTTGGAGGAATGCATGGCTCTAGATATATCCTCATACATTTCCTCCACCTCCTGATCGGGGTGTGCCGAGGTTGGTGCGTAAACCTGTATGACCTTCAGCGAATACCGTTCGGTGATTCTGAGTATAAGGTACGCAACCCTCGTCGACACACTCTCAATCTTTACAACGTTGTTAACGAGAGACTTGTGGACGATAAATCCGACACCTCCTTGGGACAGATGGTCGCCCTCCCGGTAATAGAGCAAGTTGCCGGATTCGAGGATTACCGTGTCCTCCCCCTCTCTTCGGACTTCGGATAATCCTATAATATGCCAGCGTAACTTGTCTATCTCTTCTTCCAGCTCTACAATCTTCTCGTCAGTCCTCAGGGTGCGTGCGTTGTATGTTGCCAGGTCGAGTCGTCGTAGGTGGCAACCGAACCTCCACCGGAGATTCTTAGCACCCCCTGCCCCGCCGTTATCGTGGTCGCCACCGTAGCCAGGAATAGCGGGGCCGCCGGGGACTGGGGGCCGTTTATTATTGTCATTGCTCATGGGGGGTATATTGCCATAGTTGCCACGCTTGGCGAGCGGGTTGGCAACCGCAGTCTTTTTATTGTTATTTTGGCTATTATCAGGAAGATGCTGCTGCCCATCTCCTGCCTGTTTCACTTTGTCGCCTTTTACGACACCCACGGGAAGATATGGGGTAGTGGATATTCTTAACCGCCACTACACGGCAACATGAAATACAATAATTTAAATTAAAAATTAAAAAAAAACCCCAAACAAAAAGATTTAATGATCTTTTCTTTTCTTGAAATTCACGATTAAAATCAAATAAAAATCAGATTAAAATCAATTATCTTTCAAACGAAAAAAACTCAAACTCGGTTCAACCGCTCAGGAGCTGTGATGCCACAGACAGACACACATACACAGATACACAGATACGCGGATTTTGTTGAATACTATTATTTTTAACCCCCTCCGTTTTCATAGGGTGTTAAAAATATTATTTACTTTTTAATTAAAATAACATTTACATTAAAATATATCGGCACTTCTATAAAATACCGGATCGAGAGTGAGTGAGAAGTTCCATCACTCTAGCGGAGTGTCATATCGATGATGGCGTAGTAGAATTGAAGGCATATCGAGAAACCCACTCGTTTGTGCAGTATAAAGCTCACAGTAAGCGTCACTATAGTCACTGTACTCAGGAAAAATTGAGGGAGCTTCTTTGTATACTTTATATAGTCCCGACCATACCATATATGTAGATTACTGAATTAATTTGTCTGAATAATTTATTGAGTTAAATTTATTTTTAATGATTTACTTTTAATGATAGCTATATAATATAAACTATTCTAAAAACGAACCTTTCTAACCAAGTCAGCTTTTTGTCCCCGATATAACGAAGACCGTGTAATGTTGATGTTTGTAAGTACTCCCTTAAATCCTTGCTGAAGGGCGCATAGTTCGTTGAAACTTGAGCCGGTTTCTCCTATAAAATGATTTGGAAATATTATATTTCCTTTCACAACATTTTTAATTATTAAAAATTACTCAAAAACTACTGGTCTGATTTTGATCAAATTTATATGGGCCCACGTGAAAAGCACCAGCTTTCAAATAAAAAAAGAATGTTCGGAGGTTCAAAAGACCTGGCAGCAGTATTAGATGACGGAATTCATTGACAGAAAGTCAGATTCTGGAAGAAAAAGACGCACAGAGCTACGGGACGACCGTTTCTCAGTGAGCCAAACATTGAGAAATTGAAAGGTTCTAATGCTTATTCTAGATTAATTATTATGGAAATGTAATTTGTTTTTTGGATGATAAAGCTTAAGTGCATTGGACAACCTGGAGTCTTGACCTTAGTCCGATCAAGCATATGTGGAACATCACATGTATAGGAATGGGTACAACTAGCCTCCCAAAACTTTAGAGAACTCAAAATTTTGATAGCCACGGAGCGAAAGCGCATTTTTCAAGAAATGATAAAAAAAGTGTTAATCCGAATCATACCTAAAATGATAGAAGGTGTAATAAGGGTTAAAGTTGGCTATACGTGACATTAAATCTTACTAATTCAAAATATTTTACCATAACAATCAAAAGAACGATTTTATATAACGAAGGTCACAAAAATACTTTGTGGTTCTTTAGATCAGTAGTACGAG